ATTCAGCTGACACCTCTATTAAGCGGACGCGGACACTAAAATAAATTGTATTTGGCTAATTTCTATTGTTTAAAACCTCTATTAAGCGGACACCGGACTGAATTGACATTTCCTTGAAATACGTACTGTAGTCGATTAATACATGTAAAGATAAATCAGTACATTTAGCTGTCAAAAGACCGATATCATCCGCGATCAGAGTTAACCTAAAAGTCTTGCGCAAAGTACGGCACAGCTTCCTTAGTTCCCTTAACAACATGGAACTTTATCACAGTACAGAGTAACCGTTGAATGTTAATGTTTAACAAACATTGCGCTATTTTTACAAACCTCAATTAAGCGGACACCCTCTATTAAGCGAACACTTGGGAAGGTCCCCAATGTGTCCGCTTTGTAGAGGTTTCAATATATGTTATTTAACAAGTGAAAATTAATGGGTGTCAGGTATCATAAAAAATGAGAGGAGAGATGATATATGGAACACTAACGAACGAGCAGTCGTATTTATTCAGCTCCATATACATGTATTGTGTATTGCATTTTGTCCCCTTAGTCAGCATAGTTATGGCAGCTTTGCATGAAAAGAATGTATACTTAATATAAGGGCCTTCCCGCCTCGAGGGTCTTAGTTGTTATCTGCTTTCTTTACCGGGGTGAGCGTGATTTTAGATTCTGAGTTAATATATTTGCCCCGTGGTGTCCTTGCCTTCTTCTGAAAAATAAAATAAATTAAACAACCAAACGTGGTGTAGGAAAGAAGAACTTGATTTCCAATTTCAAGAATAGCGAAGTTAAGGGGGCATTACAGTTAGTTTTTTGGGGAAATGATGTTGATTTGGGAAGAAAAAATAAATTAGGTTTGAAAAGGTATACACATAAACCGGTGCAGTTAGTCCGCTGATGCGATCAGAGGCACCTTTTAATTGTTGTGGTGGTGGACTATCTGGTAATTGTCTACAAATTATTCACTTCATATTTTAATTTTTAACAACCCCAAATCCAATAATTTATTTTCCCATTTTCCCAAAATTTTAAACATCTCCCTTCCTAGCCCGCGTAGCTGGCGGTACTGTGTAGTAGTCGAATGTTCAGATCTGGCGGCGAAGCCCCCAAGAGCGGCGTAAGCAGCGAGAAATTCAAACGCCTCGTCCCCACTTTTTTTGGGGGGATCACGGCTACGCAGGCTACTCCCGCCCTAAATTTTATACATTAAAAACATCCGAAAATCGTTGAAAAGTTGCTAAATAATTATTGAATTAAGGACTGTAACTTAATTGAGTTATTTTTGGATTGAATGGAATCTTGGCCAGATATGTAAGAAAAAGGGTCAACATCAACGAAAAATGACGCTTTCAACCGTACTGCTCTCTTAAAGACGTTGAAAACATGATAAGCTCGTCGATACCAGAACCTCGTTAAGGTCGGAGGAGAGATGACAGCCCGTGACCATGGCAGAATGGAAGGAAAGCTGACTGGCGATATTACAGGGTAGTTTCCGTGACTCAAGATGTTTACAATCTGGGGAGCTTCATAATGTTTCTTAATGTTCGCAGGAATCCTCAAACGAACATTTGTCCGCTCAAGGCCATGAAGCATGTTGACACGGCAAGAGATTTAGGCATTGTTCTAACGAAAGAGAATTCCTTTTCGTTCTGTAGACGCTAATAGGGCCTGCTATAAAGCAATGGGTCTGCTATACAGCGTGTTACTGAGTTTAAGTATCTGGATGTCATCTTTAATGAACACCTCAGTTGGAACGAACATGTTAAAGCAATTGTGTTTAAAGCTGGCAGGCGGGTCGGTCTGTTAGGACGTGTTTGCCGTTATACCACCACACATAGTGCTAATGCCATTTTTTTTATCTACGATTAGACCGACTTTAGAGTGCTGTGCTGGGGTCTGGGGGTGCTGTGGGGAAGTAAATGGTGGAACTCTAGAAACTCTGCAGAAGTGCGTTGGAAGAATTGTAAATAAAAACAGCTAGTAGTGACACTGCGACGAAAGCTTTGAAATGGTCAATTCTTAGGTCCAGACGCGATGAACACATCCTAAAACTTGTAAGGAAATGTATACATGGCCGGTGCCCTCAGTATTTTAAGAACTACTTTGTTTTTAACAAGGACATTTGTGCTCGTTCAACGCGCCAGAGCAATCTCTTACATCTGCCTGCCAGAAGAACAGAAGTGGCCAAGAGATCCTTTTATTACCATATAAGTATGGTTTTTAATAGTCATGATTGTAAATGTCCTTAATCTTAAAAGATCTTGTTATTAGTTCATTTGTTATATTACCTGGTACATATTTCATTATTATTATTATTATTATTATTATTATTATTATTATTATTATTATTATTATTATTATTATTATTATTATTATGATGATGTAAAATTTAGCACAGGGATTTTCCCTGGGGACAAATAACGAGTCAAGTCTCTTCCCGAGACCTCAGACTTCCAGCACCTTTCTGAGGATATGTGCCGATCCGAGGAGTACCGACTTTTGCATCGTTCTTGTTCGGTTTTTAATTCCTAGTTGCTCCAAGTGGCCTGCCAGCTTCTTTGACACTGAACCTAATTCACCTACAACCACTGGCACCACTTTTGTCCTTGATTTCCAGATCCTCTGAATCTCTCTTGCCAGGTCTTGGTACTTTTCACACTTTTCAGTTTCTTTCTGCAGAATATTACTATCTCCGGGAACAGCTATGTCCACAATGATTGTTTCCTTTGCCTTCTTTTTCTGAATTACAATGTCTGGCCTCCTGTGATGGATTTCACGGTCTGTTTGGATGGTAAAGTCCCACAACAGTTTAACCTCCTCATTCTCTTCTACGCTTTTGGGGGAATGCTCATACCATTTGTCACTGCACTCAACTCCATATTCCTTG